CATAGCGCATGCTCACAGACCCGACTCCCTCCTCAGGCGCCGCCGGGGCGCGCCCGGCCCCGCCCCGATCGGTCACCGCAGGCACAGCGCATGCGCGCGGCGCCGCGCGCGGGTAACCTGGCGGCAGCTCCCGAGGCTCCGTCCTGCGGAAGGAAAAATGCCGGGGCGGTGTGAGGGCGGGGGACTGGGAAGCAGCCGCGCTGCTGCGGGGTGCTGCGAGCTCTGGAAGTCGGCAACTGCCTCGACTGGAGGGAGTCGCCCCGCGTTCGTCCTTCCCTTCCACCCCTCCAGCGCTTCACAGTGGCGGTCCAAGCTCCTAAAGTGTCCTAACACCGTGTCACGCGTTTCAAAATGCGAGAGGAAAAAGCCAAACCAAAACCATACGGCCAAAGCCAAGCAGTTGTGGAAAGTTACAGGCACAGATGACGAAAGAGGCGAGCGGTACAATCCCGTGTTTCAGCGAGTGCCAAGGAGCCAGGGGACCGCAGTGCCACCCCCAGCAGCTGCCGCCGCCTGAGGCGGAGAGAGGCGGCCGTCACCCATGGGAACAAAAACCAGATACAGGCAACATCAGAACCTGAACTGGTACTTGGACACTGCTCTTAAACTGGATCCCGGTTTAAAAGGTTTTTGGTTAAATTTGCAAGTTACACTTCAGCCGGTACTGAACCTTTACCGGCTGCCTTCCGGTTCTGAGATGCTAGGGAGGCAGATCAGCACGTTTCGAGCAAAGCTGGATGTTCACACATAGAAATAAGATGCCTTGGTAAAACATATATCAGTTCAATGATATTGCAAAGAAATGGGACCCGAACCATGACTACGCAGCTGAATTTGCAGCCTAGACAAATTTAACAAGCCAGAAATTATGAAAAATTGTATCATTATACAAGAAGGAAGGAATATTTGAGGAGAAGGTTATGTGAGACCTAATAGCAACCTTCCAGTATCTGACAGGGAAGAGGGAAGCTGGAGAGGGATTCTTCATCAAGAACTGTAGTGACAGAACAATAAATAATGGGTACAAAATGAATGAGGGAAAATTTAGGTTACATAGCAGGAAGAAATTTTTCTTTGATGGTTAGATACTAGAATAGTGTCTAACCCCTGGTTACCCAGTGAGGTTGTGGTTGCTCCAACCCTGATTCTGGTTCAACAAGGCCTTGAAAAAGCTGATCCAGTGGGAATTGTCCCTACCCATGGTGGGGTGGGCTGGGACTATATGATCTTTAATGTCCATTCCAACTCTTTAAAAATCTATAATTCTATCATTCTAAGTTCTGTACCTTAATTTTGAAACAGCATATGACACTAAAAACTCCATTTAAGAATGAATGTTGCAAATTTAGAACAAGGAAAAGTATGATGAATAGAAAAAATGCTTGCATGAGAAATACTTAAATAAAAGTTGATTGAAAAAGTAGGTACACTAATGTGCCATGCTAATTGTGTCATGGAATTGCAACAGATCCATTAGGTTTGTACCAGACTGTGCACTCAGTCTGGTAACAGAAAAACATGAGGGCATCTTCTAACAGATGAGAAGGTAATTTCAAACAAACAAGGAAAAAAGGAAGTTTCTGGTTTCTATTAGCTATTTTTTTTTTTTTAATAAAAAAACAACCCACTGTGAATTATGGAATTTGCTGACTTGGAAAGGCTTTGGAGTCAAGAATTTAATGAGATACAAGGCTACTATGAGCAAAAATAATCTCCCATTATGATATACCTATAAATTTCTCTGAAGATTCTAGCTCTAGTCAGTTGTGACAGGACAGTGAACTCATCTGGCCCAGTAAGTGCGTTCCTTTTCCCTAAGCTTGATACTGGTGTAAAAACAACTTTATCAGATATTACATAATAGGATTTATTTATCAGACCTCAGACTCTCTTCCTGTGAGTACACATGCTTAACTCTATTAGCATGAATAGTTTCACAGAATCAAGCAGGACCACCCAAGGGAATATAACATAGGCACATGTGTAAGTAATTGTTTAACTAGAGCTTGTGCATGCTAATAATTTTGCATTAAAATTTAAATGCAAAAACAGAGACAAAGAACTTCTGCATTCAGCTTTTCTTTAGGAGAGAGTGTGCACTCTACTTTAAGAGTTCCTTTCACTTATCTATATAAATGCTGAAAAATTTTCTTCTTTACTTTCTTTGCAACTATAAAGTTCCAAGGGTTGACCTCCTGCTGTTCTTTCAAGAAAAAATAGTTGTGGTGCAAATTTAACTTCTACACTAAAATGCATTTTACTTTTTATTCTTTTAGTCTTGGGTATTTACAAGCTTTTCTGTGTTAATTCATTCCAGTCAAATTTTTACAAGCAGCCTCACATCCCTGGAGATTCAATATATTTTTGATAAAGGTTGCAAGTTGGCATCCAGTACCATCCAGTAGAAAATTAACATTCTATTCAGGAAAAAAGGTGAGTCGATGCATTAAAAAACTCTTGCAATAACATGCATGAGTGCACACACAGAGCATACACACACCCCACCCTACACACTCCAAAAGCAAAAAACTCACAACAAACAAAACCACAACCAAAGAAGAAAGAACAACTTTGAAACAAAGTTGCCACTCAAAATATTAAATTGACTGTTGTAGAAAGAGATATTTTGATATGGGTCTTTTCTCAAACAGCAAGTTGTAAGATTTATAGAGTTATGAACAGTGATCCACATCCATTTGCCATATTTAGTGGCAAATATAAACTTCAATGATGTATCCACTATCAGCAGGACCATTGTCAACTTACAAAGGGATGATGATGATGCTTTGCCTACTCTGGTAAAAAGTATCTGGTATTATTACTTGTTTGAGTATGTCAAAGTGTGAACAGCAGAAGAAAAACATCTCAAAAAAATTAAGAACCATAGAAGTTTCTAAATTCATTCTAATTTTGCTAATGACAGGGAAAGAGATGAATTTGACCAAGGTAGAGCCAAAACAAGTGGGTACTTTTAACTCTTCATACATTTTTAAGATAAAAGTTCAAAATTGCACAGCTTGTTCTTGACTTGGTAAAAGATTGAGACTATGTGCAGGACCTAACAGTTCTTTCAATAAATCACTTTTTAAAATACAGTTTTATAGGTATTAATAATTGCAGTAATTTGGCATCCATTTTTGGACCTTTTTAGGTACAATGCAAGATAAAATGAAAATGATGATAACATATATTCTAAGAGATTTTGGAGCCATGCTGGTTATCTAAGGTTATTATTCTGAAAATGTTTGAGACACACTTCCCTATATCTTCAGTTCTTGGTCAACCACTTCATAAAGATGGGTTATGTACAGATTTTAGAAAAGGAGAGGTAATTTTCATAGGAAATCCCATCTCCTCCATATTATAGCCACTTCAGCTAGAATTCATGCAAACATGCTTACATTCTGGATAAATAAAACTAATAGGAAAGAATCTCTAATATAGGGGGAAGACTTGTAAGAAATGTTGGACAGTATTGTTGCAAGAGCAAATGAAGATAAAAGAGAGAGATGCAGAGGGAAACTTGGGAAAAACTCTCTTTTCATGCTTTGCCTTTGTCCTGTGGCTGTCCTGCCTCTACAGGCTCTGACCAAAGACCACTTCATTTTCTCCATACAGTTCTGTCTTTTTATATTTATCTTTATTTTTTTTCTGTTATAAAGATGAGTACAAGACCATCATCAACAAGGAGAGAAGTCCAGGAGGGAACAGACTTTGTGTAACACTGTTAAGTGAAGAAGCTTTTAAAGATAATGGAACCGTTTAGACTGACTTCTTCATTCCTCATCTGTTGAAATGTAAGGCTGGAGAAAACTTCAGCAAATCCCCGGTCAAACCACTTACATAGTAGCCAGCTGAAGTATCTAAGCCATCCTTTATATCTGTTCATCCACCTTCATCAAAAGTCCTGGTGAGAGAGATTATGTAGGGGTGGGGTTTTTTTGGTAGCCTAGCAATTCTTTACCTGAAGAGTAAGAAAATTCTTCTGAATATTCCCTAAGATTTTTGCATAGTCAGTTACACTGATTTTCTTTTGTCTTTTGTTGGATTTGGAGAACCAAGTATTCATCAATATCTTTGGAAACCAACATATGCCATGTGGAAAGTCATGACTGACCTCACAAAACAAAGAAAACACTGACATCTGGAATAATATCCTCAGCAATAATACTTGGATAAAAAAAGATATATTTGAAATGTTCAACATTGCCTTAGTTTCTTTTTTCTACTAGATAAACAAGCCTAACTAATTCAGTCTTTTGTCATATATTTTTTTCTCAGCTCTTACCAGGCTTCTCAATTCTCTGTGCACTTCTGTCTGCACATCAGACTTTCTGTGGTCAAGATCCTCAGAGGTCTTATCAAACCAAGCCAAATTAAAAAAGAACAAAAATCTGTAGAAATTTACAAATATATATAACATCTGTATGTACCTCCTTCAATCTAGATTCTTTTTGTCTGCTAGGCCCTGCCAGATTATTTGCTGCTTTTAAGGAAGAGCAGCATGTAATTTATTTTTTAATTAATTTTTAAAGTCACTATATTTTTCTTTGTGAAAAAAATCATTTATCCATATTTTTATGATACTTTGACTTGTTTATGTAGGACTACTGCTCTTATTTATCCGTGAAAATTTGAATCCTTTACCTGGTACCTGAAATGCCTACTCTTGTCTCTAAGTCTATTCTCTTTCCCACCAATCTTTTAAAAAATAAACCCTCATGACATCACCACCAAAAAAGTAATCACCTGGTAAATCCAGATGAGACTTGCTCTCGAAATGTTTTCCTGTCTGAAAGTAAACCTTTTTTTCATTACTGGTGAATTGTCTATCAGCATTACCAGTGGCAACTCTGCAACTCTGAAGGGAAGTTGTGGCACACTAAATTGTTGCTGTTTTACAAATTGTCCTTCTTTGAAGGAACACAAACAAAAGCATGTTTTGGAGTATGTCACTGTAACAACAATGAAGACAGTTAAGAACAACAGCTAAATATGGCATGCCAAATTACTATATTCAGATTTTCACGTTTTCCTGTGTTCTGTCTTGCACAATAAGCACAGAGGGAAGAGGGAGAAACTCTAGTTTTGCCTTTTCCCCACTTGCTGCTGCTGCTTGCATTTGGACAATCTTATGAAATTGATTTCTTCCCCTGTTTCAGGGGGGAACTGTTTCAGGTTCACTGTGTGCTACTTGCCTACGCAAGAGCTGCTGGGGAGTTCAATGTCCAAGTTTCCAAGCACATGAATCCCAGCATTGCCTTAGCTTCTTTACCACTTCTTGGATTCCCCTAATTTCAGATCCAAAATGTTACCACAGGCTGACTAGTTAGGGAAATTGTTACTTGTGACATTTTCTTCTAGAAAAGCAGATCAGTCACTACCAATCAATGAACAATCCTAAAAGGAAATATAACACATCCCATCTCCAGATGAACTCATCTTTCTGAAGTGAGTGACTGCTTCCTCACTTCCCTTTTTACCAGTCAGAAGTCTGAAAGCCAAACAGAGGAAAGCAAAAAATCTACGCTAATTAAAAAAAAAAAACACCCGCTGAAACCAACCAAAAACCAAACCAACAAAACCAAACAAACTTGTTTCTTCTAAGCTAGATTCAATTACAGTATGACTTCTCAGCCATTCATCCTCATATAGCAACCAACTCTTGCTCCCAGATTCTCAAATTGGTTTAGGGATTAAAGTTCCCAGAGAGAAGCAAACCGAGGAGGTCCCTCACGGCCTGCGGCTGGAGGGCAGCTCCGGGAAGGGCACTCCCGAGGCACGGATCGGGGCGGGAGGGCGCCGTCCCTTGGGTGCCAGACCCTACCAGCTTCACCCACTTCCCGCCCGGAGCAGGGCTGCTTTAGGGATCCGAGTCTTCAAAGCAAGGCAGAAACAGGGCTTTCCTCACCTGTCAGCATCCAGTAGGAGGCAGCCATGCCTGGGCTTCTGCGAGCCGGGGGCCGGGAGCCCGGGCGGAGGGCAGGGGTGGCGGGAGCGGTCCTGCCGCCGGCGCGCCCGGGGAAGCTGCGCTGCCGGTGGAGCTCAGCGCTCTGCACCGCCCGTCCGCCTCGCAGCCGAGTTAGGCATTTCCTGTTTGTTATCCAGTCTTTACGTTGCTTCTTCGCATTAAAAAGAATTTAGTTTCCTCCCACCGCACACAGTTTCCCCCCACCCACCCCTCTAAAGGTCTCTGAGTTTTGGAAACCTCCCCGTTGAATTAACCCAGTTAGGATGTACAAATAAAGCCAAATCTCCCCCACTAAACACTCCGGCTGCAGCTCTCGGAGAGCACAGCAGACCTTAAAGGGACATCTCCCCGTTCATAATTAATAAGTGTCTCCCGCTGGCCAGCCCCTGTCCCAGTAGGGCAGGAGTGAGCTGGGTGTGCTACACAGCCACCTCTCTCGCCTTATCAACAGGAGAAACACGTCGTTGAGGTAGAGGGGTGTGTTTGACTGCTCAAGTTTAATTTCTCTGACATCACCCCTTAAAAACGCACTCTTACGGCCGGTCATTTGCCCGCAAGAGGAAGCCAGCCACCCCCTCCCCATTCTCGGCGGCTCTGGAAACGCAGTAACTCTTCAGACAGTGGGCGATTTTCTCGAGTCTTTGCGTCCTCCTGTGCTTTGCTGCATAGAGGAAATACCAGACAGCTGCCTTTGCCCTCATCAATCGAACGTTTGCATGGCATGCCTTCCCACTCTCCCTGCCCCCAAAACGACTTCACTAGTAAATGACTGAATAAATAGCTAAGGTAATAATCAGCCAGATTCAGGCCTGTAAGCGAGGATTTTCAGGATTTGTTGCACACTCTGGAAAGGAGCAGTTTTGCAGGACCTTTTTTTACCAGACTGATTGATGCTCAAGTGGAGTGGCCCCCGTTCAGCGGTGTATGAGTTCCCACACTGGACTTGGAAAATCATTTTATTGCTTATAAAACAAGGGAACCCATAGTCCTTCAAGCAAGAAAAAGGAAAACCAAAAATATAAGGATTTGGAAATTTCGGTGCTTCTATAAAAATCCTCTATCATTTCCTTGACTTGGAGCAAAGGATTTGGTGAGTGAGTAAAAGTTAGTGGAATTTTGGCAGGTTCCTTTGAGACTAATAAACTGCAGCTTTTAATAAGCTCTATAATAGCTTCTTGCATCTTCCAACATCTGTATTAATTTAATGAGAACACTTAGAGTGCACCTTGTAGATCTGTGGAAATTTTAGAAAACTTTACCATTTTAAAGCTGGTTTTAAGAGCAAAGATCCTCAGTGGGAGTACCCAAAACTGATGCAATTAAGCACATGTGTAACTTCAGCTGAATGAGAATTTTTGCTTGGTTTGTGCCAGTTTAAAAGACAAGACACATTTTTTCCAGTCAAAGGTTTTATGCATAAAATTAAAGGAAATGGAAATGGCATCCAAACTAAAAGAAGACTGAGTTTATGGAAAAACTGTCATTTCATTTTTTCTAGTCAGTTGTGTTACCACTACTGTTATTCCAAAACAGGGCTCGTAATCCAGTGTGCTAGAGCCAACAACGCACAGAGTTGATGCTGTAGTTTTTTAGAGTTGCAAGGCTGGGTGCTGGGTGGTAATTCACAAAAGTCATCACCCTCAGGTTTATAAAGCTGGGGGTTTTTTATACCCTTTTTAGTAGTATATTCCACCTACCTAATACACATGGACTGCTGTATTTTCTTAAAAAAAATCAAAACCAAACAACCAGACCAAACAACCAAATCTTTGTATTCCCTGTGCCACTTGCTTCAACTAAAGGCACATGAAAGAGTTGAGCTTGCTTTCAAATAATAGTGAAGGATTTTTTAATTTTTTTTTTTTTATTTTCTTTTTGTGATTTAATATATTACATCAGTGGAAGAAGCCAGGGAGACTTTCTCTTGGACTAAAATAAATTCAAGCCTATATGAAATTCATGAAGCATTTGGTATATATGTGAGGACTGTACATCATGTTGGGGGATAGCACTTCTTGAGAGCAAAAAGAAAATTTTTGATGAAGAGTTATTCCTAATTTTTACAAAATTATTCTTAATATTATGATTTATTTGTTTGTTTTTGTGGTGGCATCCTATATGTCTTGCATCAGGCAATGTTGAAAGGATAACATTAGAAAAGATGAATTGCTGGACTGAGCTAGCATTTCTTATTTATTTGAACACATTCAAGAAAGTAAAAACACTACAGGCTTACAGACAATTATTTTGGAATGTCAAACTTGAAAAAACTGCAAAACCCTCCTTTTCACAGTTCATGTTGCTTTGTTGCAGTGGCTCAAGCAATGTTAATAACATGTTGCTAAATTCTCTTCTTGGAGTTTAAAGTTTCATACATTAGTAGCAAGGAGCAAATCTATTTTAAGCAGGAATCTCTAAATGAAGCTCACTCAGGCCCAGAAGTAGTTAAGATATTAGGTTATTTTAATGTGAGAAAAACAAGTATTATTAGTTTTAGTGGATTGTAATACTATACAAAATCATTACCCATAGTGATGGATAAAAGAAAAAGGTCAAATTAGTTTAAAGAATATTGTTGGCTTGCATAATTTATGTCTTTCTAAGATGTCACAGAATGCAGAGGAAGGACTTTTTCCTAGTGCTATAAATTAAACATAATTTGTAATTTTGAACTGTGCCTCCTAACTCAATTCTAGCGATTCGTTTTAGAATATCTGATACAGAATAAGTACACCAGTAGTTAATGGGATCTGATGGAAGTATTTGTGATTAAAGATTAGTTTAAAGACTTTGAAAAACTAGACTTTGAAAAGGCAATAAAAATTAAAAATATCAGAAAGATACAATTCTTCTCCCTTCTAGGTGGTGTTATTCCTGCAAAAAAAAACCCAACCAGTGGAAATACATTTTGTCCAAAAGGGCTGAAAAAAAAAGAAACAAAAGTTTTTCAAATAGTTTCAAAGGCAGGAAGACTTCTACATAGTGTGACTATAATTTAGATAGAACTAATTTTTCATGGAGTTTTTTCTTCCCCTTTTAAAGAGGGTGTGAGAAATTTTATTTTATTTTGCTTGTTAGGTGAGAAGGATCTCTAATCTGTAACACAAGAGAGGAATGCATAATGCAAGACTGACTTCAAATAGCCAGAAGCATGTCTAACTTTCTTCCATTAAAGGAATAGTATGACAGCATCAATATTGTAAGAGAGCTGTTACATGTTTCTGTGGTGTTCACTGTTGTTATTTCACTGCATTATGCACTGAATGGAAAATACTACAGAATAGGTTCATAGAGCTTCTAAGTGAATATTTATCATTGACAGCACTTACTGTAATCTTGGATAGTTTACATTGCACTGTAGATTAGTGGTAATTTACATTTATGCTTTTTTCTTACACTTGCTTATTCGCTGTCTCCAACATGTCTTTCACCTTGATGACTTTGTTGTTCATTTTCATAGTCTCCATGTTTTCCTATCTGATTCTAGGGCCATATTAGAATTCGCTTGGCATAACTTGTGGGTCTGTAGTCTGATTTTTATTATGTCTGAAATACTCAAGGGCTTCTTCTTCAAGTACCAGAACTAAGACCTTGCAGGATTTGGTATGGTTCCAGAAGTACTCTATGCATAAATCTTTTTATGTTTTACAGCTCAGCTTTTAACTGATACTTGATATTCTTGGAGAAAGCCCATGTTTCTGCTCCATCTGTATTAACCAGGGGTACAAATGTGCCAAAAATCCTTTTTGCCATACAATAGGATCTTTATAAAATTTTTTGCAGATTGGGTTAGTTTAATTAATGTTGGTAGGAAATGTTATGGAAAATGCCCCTTGTGTTCTGTGTTTAATCTATTCCCTACAATATATTTTATTTATTCTTGTTCTTTTTTGGACTATATATCAAATATCATAATGTAATTGTAACCAAATTAATATACAGACTGTGTTCTTACTGAAATTTCTGATTTTCCTCCTTAACAGGTTTTAGGTGCCTCAGCTGTGTGGCTTTTCTTTATGTATTTTCACTAGGTGCAAGTTTTTTTGTATTCATTCTAAATTTGTGGAGATCAAAATTAGGCCTACCACAAAATTCAGGAAGACCAGAAAGAGATGAGTTTGTACAGCATCATTTACTGCTATACATCTTCCATCAAACTCTTTAATTTTTGATTGTTGCTTTATAATCATGAAGAAGGATTTAAATATTAAAACAGATTTTAAGATCATTGCAGATTATATACTTATGCTTTTCATAATTCCTGATGCTATTTCTATTTCCTTTGAGTGAGTTTCTTACAAATTTAATCCTAATTAACCATTTTTTTCTTGCAAGAGAGAGATCCTCTGCTTGCTTATTTACTTACCTATCTACCTGTTTGTAAGATATCTTGGAGGTCTGTAGGACATTAACAAACTTTAACATGAATATATAGTTCTTCAAACTGTACACTACAGAACACAGTTTTTTCAACATGAATGAAGTATTGATTTCTCTGATTGATTTCGCCCATCAACTTTTTTGTGTGTTAGAGCACTGTTTCTGCAGCACTGAAGCCACTGTAGCTATGGCATTAAGTCTGAGGAGAAAGGAACTGGTAACTTCAAGTATGGGGGGACGAAAACCAGAAATTAATATTGTATTATACAAAATCAAGGACCTAGAAATTGCAATCTGTTTATAGGACTTTTGACTGAGGATATGTATATCTCAGACACTGTTGGTTCATCAGTGCATTAACTCTACTGCAATATACAAAGATTTGCAACGAAGCCAGAATTTAGGTGTAGAGGTTTAATTCCTCTCATTAATACCTTGGTCTTTCTGCAGTGCACACACATTTATTTTTCTTTGTATTACTGTTTCTTACCTTAATTGTTTTTAGTTGTATGTTAGGGTTTTTTTGCTTTGTCTGTTTTTGTTTTTGTTTTGTGTTTTTTTTTTAATGTGCTGCTCATGGTATGTTGAATAACCAATACTGTTCAGATAGATTTTATTTATGAAGTTGTATAAAAAATATCTCACTGAGAGCATGCTGTCAAAGGAAGATAATTGATGACACTAATTTCTCAAAATAATTGCATAGTCTGAAGAATCTTACATTATATTGCATTGCACTGTATTCATTACATTCACAGCTGGTCTGCATAATATAATTACTTATTACTG